TTTGCAAACACATGCGACACCGGATCATCATATATCTTGAACACGACCCCTTATTTGGCGATTCCGGTTTCATCATATACCCTAAACCTTCAATTGGCGATTCCGTATCATCATATATCTTAAACTGCCCTCTCATTTGGCGATTCCGGCTCAACACATATCTTAAACACGCCCCCTCATTTGGCAATTCCGGTTCAACATACATCCTAAGCACGCCCCCTCATTTGGCGATTCATGCTCCATCATCTGGCGATTCCACTTCATCGTACATCTTGAACTGCCCTGTCATTTGGCGGTTACGGTTCGTCATATGTCTTAAACACGCCCCCTCATTTGGCGATTCCGGTTCATCATACATCCTGAGCACATACCCTCATTTGGCGAAAGCCAATTGAAATTTAGAACACAACCAGCAACACAAACAACTGAAACCAATTTGCAATTCCGGTTCATCATAACCAGAGGACCAAGAAAACAGAGGACCAGGGGAGCGCAGGACCCGGAGACCACGGGACCGGAGAAGCACAGGACCAGGGGAGCGGGGACCGCAGCCACGGGACCAGAGGACCAGGGACCAAGGGACCAGAGGACAGGTCTTGGCCGCGCCTTTCAGGCGAGGGTTAGACATACACAAACACACATGTACAGAAATGACACATGTGCACATACATCATGCTAGACCCCAAACAGCACTTGGCAGCTCCGCAGCGAGTACTGAGACAGCCTGCTCCTTGCATTCGCTCGTGCAGGAAGCCTGCTGCCACCCACGAAGTCTCTAAGCAGGCCTGCCTCCAACAGCATCACCAGAATGGTCAAAAGCACCCCGAATGCTCCCATGACCACCCTATGAGGTCAAAATCAGCCCCACGCTGGGGCGGGAGCACGCTTGGCACGCCAGCATACGCACCGCACCGCGACGGGAAGACGATGCGCACCCCAAAACACGTGTGCAAGGCACGGTGGCAGGAGAAGGATCTAGGCAGGAAGAAACGCACGGGACCTCCACACCAAGACCCAAGGTGCTCGCCGCATTGCGACGTGTTCGAGGCATTCCTGAACCCTTTTGGATGCTGAGATTTCGAGACCCTGCCAAAGCCCTGGTAGCCTCACAAGTGCAGCCCTGCTAGGATTGCATCGACTTCGAGCGCTTTGAACGTCAAAATGAGAACGGCACTTGGTACGAGAGCAAGCTTCAAGTACTTTAGACACAGCCGATCGCACCAAATCTGCTCACATCCAGAACGACCTGTTGCTTTGGAATTGTACACACATATACCTTTGCATACCTGTGTGTGTGTGCCCTCGTGCATGCATATATATATATATATATATATATTATTTATTTATTTGTTTACTTACTTATTTATTTATTTATGTAATTGTGTATGTATGCATGTATGTATCTATCTATGTTCGTATGTATGTATGTATAATATATACCCACGGCCACACATGTGTGCGTCTAGACATAGCTATCTGTCTGTCCATGCACTGTACGCCTGGATTCGGCGGCGTGCATGCACGTACTTGTCTTCACCTATGGCATGGTCCCCCGTCCCTCACTAGTGCGGTCTCCTTGGCCTGCCAAGGGAGCCTGAGCAGGCACGAAACGCACATGGAACTGGATTCCGAAGGGGATTGCTTGATTTCTGAGGCTTTGTCTTTGGCTGCCCGTTGGCGCCTGGCCGTGTAGCAGGACAAGAGCAGGGAGCTACTTTTCTGGCAAAACCGAACAAAGCGGATCGTAAAGGGGTTCCAGAATTCAACAGAAAGAAGTGCATCACAAAAAGCGATGGAAAATGCATTGAACGAGACTGGCCCTAATTGCCAACACAAACAGACAGCGACTACGGATATACAACCAAAAGCAACCACCATGCAAGATACCGCACAAAATACAGCTGCGGAACTGCACTCTGCAGTCCCTGGCCTCCTCGTCGGCTCAACGGATGAGAACGTCTGCTCTCGCAGACGCTCTGTCAGCCTTTCTCACAAGACAGCACACGGGAACTCGTCTTGAGACAAAAGACACCAAACCTCGTGTCCATGTGGACTGCATCTTTGTGCGGAAAGCCACGAAGCGGTGCCTGAATCACATTGTAATGATCCACAATTCAAGGAGACAGTTTCCAGCAGCATCCCCTGGCATGTCCCGACAAGTCTTGACCCAGCCTGATTTCGAAAGCGGTCTCCGGGCCTGGCAGCCACACTCTGCTTCTGCCCCCCTGCGCCCCCTGCCATCCCGTACCCATGTAGATTCCTGACTGTCCCCTTCAGACCTCTCTCGGTTCTAATCATGCCAGTCAGGCGACACATAGTGCGGCGAGGCCTCATGCCTGGACGCCCACCCACACGCGCATCAACCGGCGGCAAGTGACAAGTCTGCCTTTGCATCTTCCCTGGATGTCTAAGGCAGAGTTGGTCAAACACGACATGCCAGCCCGGCAATCGCCGCCGCGATGGTCGCCTCAGTGCAAGCCCCTGGCCGGACTGACAGCCTTCGAATCTGAATACCCACAGCAAGCCCTCTGGCTCATCCATTCTCGCGAAAGTACAAGGGCCACCCCCCCCC